GATGTTTGCTTTTCTCAGCAGTTTGCATTTTCATATTAGGAACAGTTCCCTGCTTCTTTCTAATCGGAAACGTATTCTCCGTTTCCTCTGCTACGTGATATGCTGGCCACCGGTTTTTCGCCTTCAGTGTTTGGCTTTCCCCATCATCCTCACCACACCAGTGAGGCTTAGTCGCTTCCTTGTACATGATCGAGTCATGCCACCGTATTGTTTCTGAAAGCCGTCCATATATTTGGAGGAGGGGGACAGGTAACATAAAATAGTGGCCGTTTCTGATGCGGTCATATCTTGAGCATGCATCGCAATCAGCCTGTCGGAGGCCTTTAAACGTGGCTATTTTCAGCACATAAAGCAAAACTGACCGATGGCAGCACAGTAAAGATGAACCATGGTGAGGACTATTAATCCCTTTCTAACGTAAATTTTCGACAGACTTTAAAATGAACTAGGCCACCGCTAGCCTCCTTTTCAGGTCTTAATTAGAGGCACGAATGAAGAAGAATAGGTAAAACATCGAAGACAGATCCGCCTTGCTAAGTCATATGGCGCAGCAGGGACCCACTGAAAAGGAAAGGAAAGTTGGGCAACATTGGAATGTCGGTCTTCCTTTACTTTCATGATCACGCAATTTTTGCGTCCTTCTTTTATGAAGTTTATTATGCAATGCTGATATCCGTTTCTACGCCATCCGGCGGAGTCTACAGTCATATGCAAGTACACAGATTATCCTCGAGCAGGACCACTGAAAGGAATATCTGCGATATCTTAATATCTAGTCAGAAGGGTTTCCTCCATTTGTCCACAACCAGTACAGCTGCAGAAATGTCCTGAAACTTTTCACTAGGATCGGTGAGCTCAAAAAATAAACAGAATCTGCCAAATTGCCGATTAATTTCCAGACGGATTTCCACAAGATTTAACGTACAAAGCGCATGCATGTTAACGGATAATGCTCAAAAACGTGCAGAACGAAAAATGCGCATAAAAATTCATCTCCTTCAATCCCAGCGCACTATTAAATACCCAGAAACACTTTAAAACAACAGTTAAGGAGGCTATCAAACTAAAAACATTCATGTAGCAAGAAGAAGCCAACGAATGTATAATCACTTACGTATATAGAATGTATAAAAATATCAACTAAACACGAAATACGGAACGAACGTCACACTGATTTCTCAAACTGGCGATTCCGTGAATCACCGAACATAAAATCCTCAACGCTAATCGCGCACAAAGATTCTTGAAAAACTGAAGTTACAATCGTTCGCCTGTTTACCACTTCCCCATCTTCACCCAAGATTAACCGTAGCCTTATACTTTACACTGTTAGCGGTGTGACACGGCCAATGAAAATCGCGATACGCATTGTAGATGTTCCACTGAGACCGGTTTGAAACGACAGGAATGGCAATAAAAAACATTACTACAACATGCAGCAATCCGCTAATAAAGAACGGATTTACAACTTGCACATATTAAACTGCTAGACATAAGATTCAACGAATAAGAGGGTAAAATTGCAACATTAAAACTCACAAAAGAAACATACTAACCTGAAAGTCAAAGTAGCAATACGTGTACTGTTAATGAAAACAACTTGCGTAAAAATTAAATCGAAATACTGTCAAAAAAATAAACACCACAAATATTATAGACCTACTGGCAAATTGCTACTTTTCGATACTGCCGATAAGAAAATAGTATTATCTGTTAATTCTCAAGTTTTATACGAAGTCGGCTCACCAAAACAGTAGCAGTTTATCTGTTTAAACCTTAGTATAAGGGATAATATTCTTCTGCAAAGTTTCAGAGGCAACAAGGATGCACAAGTATCAGGTAGTCAGTAAAAAAATTTAACCAACATTTATAACCCCCAATTCATTAAGGATCAGTCGTACAGTATTGACAACAAACTGTTTTCGGCAGTTCGACTTCGATTTTACTGTGCACTAATTGTATAAAAAGGAAATTTCACTGGTAATGCGTACCATTGTTATGTAATGGTTGTTTCAAAGTAATGTAGCTTAAACATGGCTCGTGTAAGCAAAACCACGGAACTGGTCTATCAGTCCATACATTGTTTCAGCTCGTGCCTTTGAGGTAAAATTTCTGCTTGTTTACGGTTTGTTCTTAGTTCACTTTCAACATTGGAATCGTTTTCAGACATTGGTGAAGAAGGTATATAGTGTACTTCAATACACCTCTGGGAGTTAATTAAATGGAAGTAACAGACAAGATATAAATGCTTGACGCCTTGTTTCATGAATAGTTGACCGCCTAACATTTTCCTACTGAATGACTGCGTGGAGTAATCGGCCCTACATACAATGGGGCGAACAACCCAATGCTATTGCGACCATGATATCACTCCACTGTCAACATATAGGAAGCTGTTATTCTGCATAATTCTTGAAAGACTGAGACAGTCAGCTTATCCAAGATTCCGAACAAATCAAGGAGAATTTCCAAAGGTGTTTATCAGATGTAACCAAATTTTCATTCTTGTTATAATCATTGAGCAAAACGGCTGTGCTCGATTTAGTTTGTGAGTTTGTTCGACTTTAAGGATGCATTTGTTTCATTAAATCGTCAACGATGCATAGAATCTTAAAACTCTTTTCTTGAAAATATCATTTCCACTTTGGAACAGATGTATGCAGCAACAACGTCCGCTGACAAGGTTGAAATAGAGCGAGTCTAAAGGGATAAAATGACTGTTTTTGCCTCTAATGCTTGTGGTGCCCTATCAGGTATTTTGGGCTCAGAAAATATCACTCTTACAACGAAATTTCTCCTGTGTCTTATTTGAATCAGAGGAGGTTTGTTGTCATTTGTATGAATACTGAATGGATGCCGGTCATCAGCGTCGAATGATCAAGAACGAATTTTACACTGTATACAACAACGTTTTACTCGAAGAAAAATTGGGGATAAATTGCACGAATACGTATGAAAGACCATATTTCCGAGATCAGACATGAGTCGTGAATTAGGAGATTAATAGAAGACCGGCTCAGTTGGGTAAAACTACTCAATCATAAACCATTCATTAAAGCCCGTTAGTTTATTGTGTGGAAATCCTCAAATAGCAGACGTCTACCGAACGGTAAGAATGCAACCTGGAAGAACAAACGATAGAGGGAAATTCGCTTTCGGGGAGGAACGGTTCCATCTGCGATGCAGCTACCTGCGTATTATGGCAAAATTTTTGTAAATAGTGCCAATACATCGAGTCAATGCAATTCACAGACATTCTGCTTATGTAAATGGCCAAAGATGATTATCACACAAACACACATATAGTGAGATCGGACACTGGAGTGCTTTGTTAGATCTTTTTCAACTATAGTTGAGCAACCGCACCATCTCGCCGATCTTGTGGTATTCTCTATGACAGCGTGTTCAGAAAGTTCCAGCATTTCATAATTAATGAATATGTTCTAAGATTGTCATATGAATTGCGGCTGATGGATTGGTTTGGCGGTATTTTGCTTTCCTTTGCAGAAGAACATCATGCTGATCGTTTCCGGCAAAAACTATCGGCGCTTCACTCATTGTGACTGTAATTATGGGCAAATTCAATGCAACTGGTAGAAGTTACCTAAACGAATTCTTCAGATATTTTTATTTGTTAGAACTCTGAAAACGATTAGTTCCGTTTTAAGTGATCTCCCACGAGTGAATTGTGAAATACATTCTTCGGTTTCTTTAAATGAATGGAATATAAAACTGAAGCTTCCCATGGACGAAACCCGTTGAAGGTTACATTGATTTTTCCTTGACATACTATAGCACTATCGCATCTTTCCCAGATTACATAGCACGCATCATATGATCCTGTTGAGCCTATATTGTAGCAAAGCCTCGATGAACGTCTATCCTTTGGATTATTTTGGGTAACGCGATAAGCACGTTAAACAATTTGCCTACTTAACTTTCAAGAACATATGTTTCTGGACGAAGCTCATACTCTTAAGAGTAGATTCCTCTTCCCAGACATACAATGTCACCTGATGGAATTCGTTATATGGAATACAATTTCTCAAACAGCAATAATCTACTTTTAAAGTTGAAGAAAGTGCATGAATATCGAGTAGAATATTCAAAATAGGCATATCGATCCAAAGTAGTGCTTAGGTTTAATTAAGCCGAACAT